TGTGTTCTTGGTGCTTGGGGGGGGGGACAGTGGGAGGGCTTCTAATGTCCTGGCCCCACTGATGGACCTCCTGATGGCACCTGGTATTTCTGGCCACTGTGTGACAGAGTGTTGGACTCAGGCCCGTAGCTAACAACTTTTTACTCAGGGGGCCCATGTTTTGCTCAGGGGGCCCAGTATGATCGAGCCTGCCAAGAGGTAGATTACAGTGGAACACAACACAACCACTTGCTCTCACAGTGGGCAGCAATCCAGCTCAGAGGTTCACCTTGCCATTAGTTTAGCAACTTTTGATGCCTCACATTGGGTGTGTACACGCACACACACTACTAAAAAAGCCTGCATGGAGAAACAACCTCCAGTGGGCCAAAGAAGAGGGTTCCTTTAGACATTGCACATTGGAAATGCCAGATCTCCTTGGGCTCTTTTTCAATGGTAGGTGCAGATGCCACAGAACGCTATGGAATTCACTTCAAATGTGCATATTATCTGCAGCTTCTGAGGGAGAAATGACACACCCAAAGCCATAGGACACCAGAGATAATTTGGAAAAGGATAAAAGATGCCAGCAGCAAGGTCCATGTTATTAGGGAGTCCTGCCAGCCCAGATGAACTCAGAAAAGACACCTTAATTGCACAAAGAGTGCAGCTTCCCAAGGAGACCCATCCCGATGCTGCAAATTCTCTGTGGCCATTTCCCCCTTCACAAACCTCAATTCCACACAAACCCATCCCTGGACCTTGAACTTCCAGTTGCAACAACAGCCTGAATGAACAACGAAACCACAACCTCTCTGGCTGCTTCCACACTTAATTTCTCTGTCGCTGTCTGTGTGTATAGAACTCACTCACATCCTAGAGATGTCTTGGGAGTTCCCCGCACCTTCGTGGACAGATCAGGAAGCCTGAAGGAGGGGCGGAGATGGCTTTGCAGGGGCCAGGGCCGGCTCCAGGATTTTTTTTTAACACTAGTCGAGGCTACCTTCTGGTGCCCCCCCCCCTATGCACCCCCAAATTTTAAAACATAAATTAATTTTAGGAAGAATGAAAAACACAAAATTTGAAATTGCTAATTATAAATTGGCTTACATTTTTAAACAATATGGTTTTATTCTGGTTTTAATGGTTTTTAAGATGTGTTTTTGCGCTCTGATCTATTGACAGCACTTTTTAATATTGGAAGCACAATACTCCCTCCAAGCTGTGGAGTCTTGTGAGCAAAAAATCTACTTTGTGAGCTACTGACATTAAAGTTGTGAGCAGGTGATTTGGCTTCTGCATAAATTAGTTTGCTCTGGAGCCCTCCTTCCTGGGCTAGGACAAAAATATGTGAGCCACAGGCTAAAAAATTGTGAGAAAATCAGAATGATTCAAGAGGGTTTTTTTCCACACCATCCAGTTTCATCCACTAATGTTTTTTCTTGTAGTTCAAGACACTGAAACTGACACCTACTAGGGTTGCCAGTCTCCAGGTGGGGGCCAATGCTGTTGGACGCATGGTGCTCTTCCAAGATGTAATACCTTATTCCCACACACACGCCTACTTCAAGTAAACCTTCCCTGCATCTGGGTGCAAGGCTTTTCCTTCGTCTTACAGATGAGAAGCTCTCCCTCTCTTTGGCAATTCAGAGGCTCAAACCTCCACCACCCCTTCCACGGAAGAGCCTTTCTTTAGGCCCCCCTCCGTGCACAGCCCCTCTAGCAAACAACTTTGGCTCTTTAACCCTTTCAGTGCGAGACATAAATTCGAACGCTTCCCGTCCTGTTTCCAGCTCCCAGACCGGATTTCAGCCAGGCTGTACAGTGGGGCTGCTCGGGAGTAATCCCACACAGGACTGTGCTCCTGGAGTCTTAAAGGGGCCACTTTGTTGGTCTTAAAGGGGCCACTGGACTCAAACTTCGTTCTGCTTCTGCAGACACGGCTACCCCACCTGAGTCTACACTCCCGGCCAGTCCGCCAGGCGCCTGCCTTTTAATTCTGTCGTGGACCCACCTTCAGGCATGCGAGCTGAGCTCACCACCACCAATCGAGCATTGACTCTGGAAGCTTAACCCTGAAAAACTTCTTGGTCTCTAAGGCACTTCTGGACTCAAATCTCGCTCTTCTACCAAGGCAGCAACCCACAGACCCCCCCCTCCTCCCCCAGCTGCACTCTCCAGGGCTTGGTACTTCACCTTAAGCACCTTTGGTGCCCTTCCCTGGATCGGCGCCGCCTGGACTCCTTCGCTCTCAACACATGCAGTCCTTTTTGGCGCGAAGGGCAGCTTGTGTGGGCAGGTCAGGAGCAGACTAGCAGAGGCAGAGTGGATGTCTCTAACCTCACCTTATGAGTGCTGGGAGGGGTGGAGGGGCAGAGCCGGAGCAGCGGAGGCAGAGCGGAGGTCTAACTTTCCTTATGTGTGCTCCGAGCCTCAGACCTCCGAGGAGGGAGGAGGGGTGGGGGAGGAGGAGGGGGAGCAGAAGATTGGGGGAGGAGCCCGCAAAACCCATGGGGGGCCCCCCAGGCTACAGGCCTACTGACCTCTCCTCTCCCTTGCTTTGTCCTCTCACTCTCTCTGCATGATCTTCCAAATAAATAGTTTTCTTTTCCAATTTTTGCACTTTCTTCTTCACTTTCTGTGTTGATTCAGTCACTTCCTTCACTTTCCCAGCATCCTGCTTCATTACTTGGAACAGATCTGTTATTTGGGTTTGTTGTGCAGTTATACTCTGTGTGACCACCGACATCTGCTCTTTGAAGTTATTCAGCTGTTCCAGCAGAGGGCAAATAAACTCCGCTACAGCCTTTGTTGTCTCGCTGGTCATTTCCGGCTTTGGGGACTCCAGTTTCATTTTCAAAAGTCTTTCTTTGTCTTTGTCCCTCTTCCCCGCCATCTTTTCCCCGATTGTTTACTTTCAGAACGTTTCTGAAGTCTCTGAATGTGCGCTTAATTGCTTAGCTCGCTTGGGTAAATACTTGTGGGCAATTCCAATCACGTTTTTCTTCTTCTCCCCTCCTTTCACTCACAGTTTATAGGTGTGGGACGCGTCCCCCCCTGCTCGCTTTTCTCATTCCGCTGAATAGAGTTGTTGTTGTTCAGTCGCACAGTCGAGTCCGACTCTTCGCGACCCCATGGACCAGCTCCCGCCAGGCCCTCCTGTCTTCCGCTGTCCTCTGAAGTTGGCTCAATTTCATGTTCGTTGCGTCGATGACACTGTCCAACCATCTCATCCTTTGCCGTCCCCGTCTTCTTTGACCTTCAATCTTTCCCAGCACCAGGGTCTTCTCCATTTGGTGGCACAAGTATTTGAGCTTCAGTATCATTATCTGGCCTTCCAGGGAGCAGTCAGGCTTGATTTCTTTTAGGATTGACTGATTTGATCTTCTTGCAGTCCAAGGGACTCTAGGGAGCACCTTTTCTTTCAAAATTCATTTTGCAATTGACTCACGTTCATAATTGGCCTTCCGACCATACTTCTTTCATGATTTTTAACGCCCAATCTCCTGCGCTTGACCCAGCTAGCATCACTTGTACCATTCGGTCTCTCGGCTGGAAGAACCACTGGAGCAAAGGGGTGCCTCAATTATCTGGCATTCCGCCATCGAAGAGGCTACCCCCTCAAAGCTCCTTGGCCAGGGCCCCTTCACTGGGTCCCTGGGAGGCGGTGAGTCCACAAGCATGCCGCCATCAACCGGAAGTCTACTTAGCTCAGATTTTGACTATAGTCACCTACTGAACTCTACAGCAGAAAATAGAATTTTTATATTCTGCTAACTGCGAGAAGTGTAATATTCAAAATACAATGTTTTGCTGTTACAGCTGTTAAAGAAGAAGAAGAAGTTAAGAAGAGATTGGATTTATACCCCGCCCTTCACTACCCAAAGGAGTCTCAGAGCAGCTTTCAAACTCCTTTCCCTTCCCCACTACAGACACCCTGTGAGGTAGGTGGGGCTGAGAGAGCTCAGACAGAAACTGCTCTTTTTCAAGAAGAGCTGTGCCAGAACTATGGCTAGCCCAAGGTCATCTAGCAGGTATAAGTGGAGGAGTGAGGAATCAAACCCGGTTCTCCCAGATTAGAGTCTGCAGACTTAGCCACCACACCAAATTCAATAAGTGTTTCTTAAATGCTAATATGGTAGATGGTATCATAAACAGGAATATAAGCGCTTATTTTGAAATATGACAGTGAATATGCAGGAGGGGCAGCCACCAGAGATGGTTATTGCCCCTTTGGCCTCTCTGGGGACTTCTGTGGGCTATTAGTTGGCCACTGCAGGAAACAGGATGCTGGCTTAGCTAGTTTTAGTATGATCCAGCAGGGCTTTTCTTTCATAAATAAAACAATTACTTGTGTTCTCAGTAATTTTAAATTCCCCCCCAAATTGATTGTGTCTTTCAAGTCTATCACTTTTTGTGGTTTCAAATACAGTCCTTCAACCATGCCCTTTATCTGGCAATTTTTTTTTCTTTGCCTCTTCTTCAACAGTGAGGAAGAATCCTATGAAACTCAATTTAGGTCATTGGTTTGAGATTTGTTGTTGGTTATTATGTTCCTGTGTGATTAGGAACTTTGTTCTCCCTTCTCCAGATTCTGCACCCTGGCATGGTACACTTTATGATGGGTTATTGTGTTTTTTCCCCCTCTGCAGGAACTTCTGCACCGAGATGATGAAGGTTGCCATCTTCCTTCTGTTTGTGGTGCTGATCGCTTCTCAGTACTCACGTGCTCAGACACAGCGTCACATATGTACACCTAATGGTGTGATAAAGTCATCCACTGAATCACTAGGTATTCAGCTCTGTAAGAACGAGGGTTGCCAGCACGTGCTTGGGAAATTCCTGGAGATTTGGTCTCCCAGATTAGAGTCCACGCACTTAACCATTACGCCAAACTGGCTCACAACAAATGAGGCATTTGCTGTGTTCGCCAGGACCTGAAAGGTCCAGATTTTCTCTGGCCTCCTCTATAGTCAAGAGCGGAGAAGAAAAGCTCTTTTATTGTGGCTAGCACAATCTCACTCAGAATAGCTTTCCAGCTTTGGGTTAGGCATATAGCTATTCTCTGCCTCCCCTTCTTATCCTTTAAATCCCCTCCCTATTTACCTGCTCTGTATTGCCCCCAAAAGGAGGAATTACACCCAATGAAACCACAGCCTATTGAGAACAAGAAACTGTGCTGTAAAAGTAAAATTATTTACTAGATTTATTTTACTAGATTACATTGGTGAGATATTCCTTTAACTTCTGTGACTGACTTCTTAATTATGTCAGCTGTAAACACTTTTGTGTAACTTCTGTAACACCTCTATGCTGTGTACTATAGCTTCACTGATTCAGAAGACAAGTTTACTGTAAAGGGGCGTAGATCTACTTAAAGCACATACAATATTTTATGAATGTGAATTCTAAAAGAGCTGGTAATTGTATTTTTAGTAGGCTTATATAATATCACACTTACAATTACAATGTACTGAATGCAATTTTTTAATGATGTTATAGACACTTATAATGCGGTTTCCCCACTTTGGGTATGTGTCTTGGCTGAGGGAAAGTCCCCACAACTTGAAATGAGCAACAAATGACTCCTTGGATAGAAATCTTTTCAGATTCTACACAGGAATTTGTACTTGGTGCATTTCCTAATCCCATGATGGCTCAAGGAGGCCTAGGGTAGTATTCTCTGGGTTGGGAAATACCTGGAGATTTTTTTGGGGGGGTGGAGCCCGGGGAGGGTGGTGCTTGGGGGAGGGAGAGATCTCAGTGGGGTATGAAACGTCATCAGTCCATCCTCCAAAGCTGCCATTTTCTCCTCTGTAGTCTATCTGGAGTTTGGCAATCCTAGGTAGGACTGAGGCTGGTTACCAGGACCAGAATCATGCAGGTACTTACAGCTGGACTTAGTCCAGCGTCCTTCAAATCCTCATGATGGATCATGATTGTTAAAAGCCTTGTGGGTGAAGGAGAAGTCCGGAGCAGCCAAGCAGGCGCTCTCTCTCTGCCACTAGAACTGAGCTTCTCCCCAAGGTCTCCACCAGCCACTCTGGTGTAGTGGTTAAGTTCACAGACTCTAAACTGGGAGAAGCGGGTTTGATTCCCCACTCCTCCACTTGCACCTACTGGATGAACTGGATGAGGTAGCCCCACCTACCTTACAGGGAGTCTGTTGTGGGGAGGGGAAGGGAAAGGAGTTTGTAAGCCACTCTGAGACTGATTTGGGTCATGAAGGCTGGGGTATAAATCCAATCTCTTCCTCTTCCTCTTCTTTTTCTCCGCTACTGGAGCTCTGGGGGTGCCCATGGGATCCCTGGAAAAGGGCAGGTTTCACAAACGGGTACTTCTGTGGCTCCCATGTCCAGCTCGTGTTCATGATGAGCCCTTTGGTTTTCTGGTCGTGGTCTTGGCAGGTATCCTGCGTTCTGGATGTCTAAGGGACTGTTGGGTCTTCCGGGATCTCAGTCTCTGTAGGATTAGCTGCCGTGACGACCCCTTTGTTTTCCAAGGAGGACTCATCAGGCCCAACCCTGATAATACCTCTCAATGCAAATTGTGCAGAGGCAACTGTTGGCCTTTCATGCATCATGGTCTACCACGGCGAGAAGCAGAATGCTCGACCAGATGGACCATTAGTCTGATCCATCAAAACTACTCTTATGTCCTTAAGTGACTATGGTGAAAGTAACCGCCGTGCTGTCTCACTTTGCAGTGTCTTCAGTACTGTCAACAGTCGAGCTTGATTGCACCAGCGTATCAGCACGTGGGGCCGATGCCTCCTGTCCTTCAGGTAAGTCATTTACTTTGCCAGCGGGGGAGGGTCATCTGGAAGAAGATCAAGAGCTGGGTACTGAGGACAGGGTGAACTCTCCTGCTCCTTTCCCCCTCTAACCTCTTTCTTTCCATCCTAGGCTACAAGGCCACTGGCTGTGCCTGCGGAATGGATTGTGAATCCTGGGATATCCGAGATAATGCTGCTTGTCACTGCCAGTGTGAGAACATTGAGTCGACTTCTGCACAGTGTTGCAGAATAGGTCTTGTTGGCTGATAATAAATCAAATGCATACGGGCTATTTGGCTGTAGCTACTGTGTTCAATAAAAGCAACTGTTTAAAGAGTCTAGTGTTTGCGTTTCCCCTTGAATTCATCCAAGCATGGCAGCTGCCTAGAGATGAGAAACAGGGACCACGGTAGAGCCAATAGGGCACTGCTGTCAGTCCCTACTCATAGTGAGGTTTGGAACTTCTCTGTGAGGACAGCAGCATGTATCTAACTTTAGACTGCAGGAAGCCTGGGAGATCATTAAGCCAGGAGGAAGGCCACTCCTTTGCTCAGCGGAGTGGTAGGATATATATGCCATTATCAATAGAAGTGAGATATACTTTAATGTATTGCCTCAAGTCCCAAGAGGGAGGGCCTCTTAAGTAGGAGGCAATAGCATTAATTCATTTGTTTTATTTTAGCCTAACCTTCTCCAAAAGGGATTCAGGGATAGGACACAAACAGCAGTTATAAGTCCTCTACCTTCTTGTAATCATAGCAGACAAAAGTATAAGTAGTCACATAGATCCATTGTAAAAATCATTCTGGGGTGGTGTCAGAAAGAAGTCATTCCAGGGGGAATATGTTTGGTGGAGGTGTCATTTTCATCCCATCGAACACCATAGAGGTAATTGTCGCAAATCTGAGACCAGATTTCTTTCTATTATAAGATTTAGTTCTGGGCATAAAGCCATTAACATTATCTTTTTCAAGGATGTAACCTAGAGTACATAGTTGAAACAAAGCAAATAGAAGTTTTGGCAAAAATTGTCCGGCTTGCTTCGTGATGGAGGAATGCTGATGTAACGCTAAGTTTCTTAATCAA